TCTCAGTAGCTGTGTCATCTGTGTTGGCCAAAACGATCACAGTTGTGCTGGCATTCCTAGCCTCAAAACCAGGCAACAAAGTGAAAAGATGGTTGGGGAAGAGCTTGGCCAACTCCATCATCCTTTCTTGTTCTGCTGTCCAGATTTTCATCTGTGCCATGTGGTTAGGAGCTTCTCCCCCATTTCCTGACTCTGATCTGCACTCCCAGCCTGGAGAGATTATCCTTCAATGCAACGAAGGCTCTGTCATCATGTTTTATGTTGTCCTTGGCTACATGGGCTTCCTTGCTGCAATTTGCTTCACTGTGGCTTTCCTGGCCAGGAACCTTCCTGGAGCTTTCAATGAAGCCAAGCTGATCACCTTCAGCATGCTGGTCTTCTGCAGTGCCTGGGTTTCCTTCCTCCCCACTTACCTGAGCACTAAAGGAAAATACATGGTGGGTGTGCAGGTCTTCTCCATCTTGTCCTCCAGTGCTGGACTGTTGGGCTGCATCTTTTTCCCCAAGTGCTACATTATCATCCTGAGACCAAATCTAAACACTAAGGAACATCTAATGACAAAAGCAGGAGAATGATGGTGAAATTATTTCTTAGGTTTATAACTTTTCATTATGCATTATTATTGGTTTATATGCTTTGGAATTGCTTGTCAAACTTACGTTTATTATAATTGAAGGAAATAAATATGTGTAGTTTGATAGTTAAATACAAATTCAAGATAATCATCAAATACATTAAAGATAGATAGATAGATAGATAGATAGATAGATAGATAGATAGATAGATAGATAGATAGCAGACATTTATTTATATACTGTAACTTCCTGACAGGTTTGGCATATCGGTATTAAAGTGAATTGGACTGAAGAGGATTGAAAATAAAACTCATCCTGATCTGGTTTGGGGATTCAGTAGCTCAACCAAGCTGAGGCAGGTACAAGAAGGCCATGGGTCAACTCCCAGACTGAAATGAAAATCAACTTTACTAAAGGTGTTGAAAGAAAATGCTGTAAGGTTGGAATAGAACAGAACAGAATAGAAAGGGATCTTGTAGGTCTTCTAGTCCAGCCCCCTGCTGGAACAGGAGAACATATACCAGTGATGGCGAACCTTTTAGAGACCAAGTGCCCAAAAACTGGCCCCGCCTCAGCTCCACCTCTGCCCTGCCCTCAACCCGTCCCCCACCTTGCCTGCCCGCAGGGCCACTCACCACCTCCAGGGTCCGCTGCAGCTTGCCCAGGCAGCCCAGCAGCGCTATGGTGGTCATGCCCTTTGCCTGCACCCTGCAGCATCAACTGTGCACGATGGGTGTGAGGGAAGAGTTTTGTCTATGCTGCTTGGCTTCTATATCATTGGCTGTGCTGCTCCATGTGGGCCACACTCAGGGGCGACTCTCCTTCAGGGTGGCTTCTGGAGAGGAAGAGGTCGCAGGGGAGGTGAGGCTGGGGCAATGGCATGTGTGCCCACAGAGAGGCTCTGAGTGCCACTTCTGCCACCCATGCCATAGATTCACCAACACTGACCTATACTTTTTCAGACAAGCAACTGTCCAGTCTCCTCTGAAAAACCTCCAGTGATGGAGTGCCCACAACTTTTGGGAGTAAGCTGTTCCCGTTTATTTGTCCTCAGCGTCAGGAAGTTTCTCTTTAGTTCCAGGTTGCTTCTCTCTTTGGTCAGTTTCTATCCGTTGTTTCTCGCCTGCCCTCTGGTGCTTGGGAGAATAATTTGACCTCACCCCCTCTTCGTTGTGGCAGCCCCCCCAAATACTGGAATGCTGCTATCATGTCACCCCTATTTCTTTAGACTTGCCAGACTCAAGAAAGGAAGAGTGGTTGAGAATCATGCGGGGGGGGGGCAGGGTCCCAAAAGAAGTGCACCTCCCAGAAAAACACCCCCTCCCCCCATCCAGACCCACTGATTCCACCTCTGGGACTGGGAGACTCCACGTCTTTCTCCCCTCTCTTTGGGGGCGCTTGTGGGGCAGCATCCAGGGGCTCTGTTGGGCTCCCCCTGAAGTTGCTGCTGGTTGGAACACTGGCCTGGATCCTTGGAAGCCAAGGGGGGAAGGAGACCCCCGGTAAGGAGGGGGCCGAGAGGGAGAGGAGAGGGGCTGGGGGGAGGATATGGTTGGGAGGAACCCCTGATACTTGTTGGGGGGGAAGAAAGCTGCTGGGTCTCCAGCCGTACTTTGGGAAACTGGTCGAGGGTAAGAGTGGTGGAAGTCTGCAAAAGCCTCCATCTCTGCGTGGTCTCCTCCCCCTTTCTCCCCACATCCCCCCCAGGGGGACGCAGAGGGACCCGCTCTTTCCCAATTTTAGCCAAGGTGGGGAGTCGCAGCTGGGCCCGTCTCTCGCTCCTCTCCCCCCAATATCTGGGTCAGAGTCGGCTGCATCGAAAGAGGAAGGAGGCGGAAAGCGAAAGCGAAAGAGGGAAATTTTCCGACCTGAATCCACACAAAGAAAAAGATGCATTTTAGAAAATGTATTTTTGCTTCTTCGGAAACCACTTTTTCTTCTGAATCTCCAATTTGAGGCTTTGAAGGTCCCGCAAGAGTGGAGCTTCGGTCCCTTCTGGGGGAGACTCTAGATTTGGGGAGGAGACCAAGAACCCCCCCACCTCCATAATCCCCCATTGCTCAGTTGGGACCTGGAGGGGAGGGGGGAACTGAGGGAGGAGGACTTGGGGGCGGGTCTGAATTGGGGGATGCTTTCAGTCTTGGGGGGCTGCAGCTCAAGGGGGTGTTTCAGAGCAGCCCTGCAGGGGAGTTTGGATTTCATTTTGCTCTCCCCCCCCTTGATCCTGCCTAAGTGGCTGCAGGGAGGGAGGCACGCAGCCAGGGGGGACTTGGGGGTCTCTGAAGCGGCTGACTGAGGAGTCCAGCCCCTCCTCACCGAGGTTTCCATTCCCTGCTTTGCTTCCAGAGAAGTGGCCCAGTGCCCCCCTCCAGCAGCAGGGAGAGCCCAGGGACGCCCCCAGCCCCAAAGGTGGAATCAGGGGGGGTCCTCCGAGAAGGGGCGGAGGAGGCGTTTTCCTCGGAATTCAGAACTGGAAATGCCCTGACGGAGAGGAACCAATGGGAAATCTCCCTCCTGCAGCATCATCTGTCTCCGGGCGGAGTCCCCTGTGACTTCACCCACCGGCAGACACAGCGAAGGTGATCCAGGGAGGGACGTCTCCCCCCCCTCCATCCCCAGGGAGGCCGCCCTGTTCTCCGCCCTCCCTCCCCGGCCCTGGCATCTTTTGGGGGGCGAGATGGACGTGGGGGAAAATTGTCTGGAGGGGAGCAACCGAGGGGATCAGGGTCCCGAAGAGGGAGGGAGGCGGGGGGGGGGGCGCTGGGTGCGAATGGGGCAGGAGCCTCCGTGGCTTGTGAGGGGCTCAAACGGGCTCCGATCCTGGAGAAAGAGGCCCGGATGAAGCCAGGAGAACCTCCAGCTCCAGAAGCTTCCCAGCCACGGAAGAGGCTCTCGGGGGAAGCAGGAATAGGGGGTCTCCCAGGGGTCCCCTCCTTCTGGCAGGGCTTGGAGAGATTGAGGAGGGGGTCCTGCCCCTTCCCCTCCCTGGGATCTGCCCACCCTCCTCCCGAACCGGTTCTGGATTTAGGCCTAAACTAGCCTGGATAGTCAATCCAGAGACAGGGGAGGCCTCAATTTGGGGAGGGGGAGGGGAGAAGGGAGGACTCTCTGAGGGGGGTCAGGAAAGAAGAGGAGGAAGAGGAAGGAAGGAGGGAGGAATTCCAGTATTTTTCCTACAATATAAATTTTATTCTTTTATAGCAAAGGGAAGGGAAGGGATTCGTAGGAAGAGTAATGGGGATGAAGCTGCTGTGGGTTCAAAGGGGGGAGAGATTTGGGCTTCTGGACTGGCAGGCAGGCCCAGAGTCCCTGGGGTCAGTCTAGATGGTCTCCACCCCTCCCTCCCAAGAAAAGGAGGCCCTGAAAGAAAGATGAGGGGCCTCTCAGCAGGAAAAGCTCCAGGCTGCCATTCCCTCCTCCCCCCAATCTAAAATCTTGAGCCTCCATTTTTCAGAGGTTGCAAAAGAGACAGAAATTCATCAGCTACTGAAAAAAAAAAACTTCCTTTCCCATCAGGAATCAGGAAGGACGGCAGAATTAATTCACAAGTGCTGAAGAAAAAGAGACGAGGAAGAAAATTAGAATATAAACCATCAGTGTTAATAACGTATTATTCATACAGCCTCTCCCCCCCAGGAAAACCCACACTGCAGGGAGGTGGTTGATAGGCAGGGGCAGAATGAGGGAGAATCCCCCCCCTTTCAGGGATGAAAAGGATGCAAATAACCAGCAATTCATCTTCTGGGGCTGATGGAATTTTCCCCAATTGAATTAATTGGGGGGGGATTAATCAAGAGAGGAGGCCTCCCCCCCAGATGTTTCATATTAACAAAGAAGATGGGGTCAGGATGGGGCCTGGTAGCAAATCCGGGTGTCACTTTGCCAGGAATTGTGTGAAATGTCACAACGAGACTTCCTTTCCCAATGCAATTTCCCAAAACCTGGAAACCTCCTGGGCCAGATTTTAGTGTTTGTGTGTGTGTGTTTGTTTTTCATTGCACTATTTTCAGGTCTCTGAAAGGAAAAGCTGCTCAAAATTTCAAAAATTTGTGTTATCCACAGCTAGGAGGTTTTGTTCAGGCACATTTTTTTTTTTTTAAAAAAAGGAACAATTAATGAATGTTCAAGAAACATCCATAACTTGGGGAGAAACTCACCTGCAGGAGGCTGGATGGGAGTTGCTGGAAGGAGAAAAAGAGCCAATCAGGACCCTTCATGGCCTGGAGGACTCAGGGGGTCCCCCTCCCCATCAATAGCCCATAATAGGTTGCACAATGCTCACTTATACAGTAGACTCTCAGAGAACAGACTTTCCCAAGCAAATTTCCAAGGGGGCCTCCTTGCCATCTGCTAAGCTTGCTGAGAGGCCTCCCCTGGATGGTCCCCTCCCCACAATCTCTCATCCAGCCCCCCAGACTCACCTTTCTTGCTCTTCAGGTGGAGGGAGAGCCCCATGGCAAAGAAGATCACCCCGATCACGGCCGCCACGATCCCTGTCCAGAGTTTGCTCCTGGCAGAATTGGAGGATCTGGGCTCTGGGGAAGGAGAAGGAGCCTCACTGAGTAGGAAGATCAGGGCCAGCTCCCCCCCCCAGGAGGGTCCATCCCAGCTCCCCCCACAGGGAGGGTCTCTCCCCCCTTCTCAGGGCAGGAAAGGGTCTCCAGAGGGGGAGGGGAGGGGCTCACCCCACTGGACGGTGATCGGGGCCTCCAGGCTGGCATGCTCCACCTGGCAGATGTAGACGTCCCCCCGCTGGGGCTGGGTCTCCAGCATCACCTGGAGCTGGTAGGTCCAGTCTCCGTTCTGCAGCTCCTCCCCGAAGGCCACACCCTCCTCCTCCGGCCGCCCGTTCTTCAGCCACCGGACCTTAATCTCCACGGGGTAGAAGCCCCTCACGATGCAGAGGAGGATGGTGTTAGGGGAAGTGGGATCCAGCTTGGTGGGGGAGATGGAGACGGTGGGCTTGGCTGGAGGGGAGGAGGGGGAGGGGGAGGAGAAGGGACATGGGGGGGAGACACAGGAGGGGCCAGAACAGGAGACCAAGTTGGTTAGTTCAGGCCAAGAGCCCTTTTCAGTCCTGAAAATATTATTTGTTTTAAGTCGTTTCCAAAGCAATTTCCAGCAAGAAATTAAATGGGATCCTGAAAGATGGAAAAACATAAATCGTTCCTGGTTGGGATCAGTTTCCATCATATTGCACAAGTCCAACAGAAATAAATACTGGAAACGCCCCAGGATGGAAGGAATTTCCTGCCAGATTTGGGGGAGATGTAAAGAGACCCAGAAGACAGGGAAGATACACAGCATGTTTTGGAGAATTGCAGGGATCCCACTCAAAAGAAAACCACATTTTTTAAAAAATAGGTAGAATACCAGAACATTTATTTATTTATTAAATTTGTTTGCCACCATTTCATGATAAAATGACTCTAGGCAGCTGACAGCAGGGCTTTTCAACTGGTGGTAAGTGTACCACCTGTGGTACATGAACACATGACAGATGGTATGCTGCCCTGCCCAGCCAAGTGTAGTGGGGGAGCGAACGAGCCAGCAAAGGAAGGACTTACTGTGAGTGGAGCTGCAGAGTGGCTGGGGTGAGGCAAAGGCCCCAGGCTCATTTCCGGTTCACCCCCCTCCCCCATGAGAAAGGAGGAAGAGGGCGCAGAGACAGCTGGTGGCTGAGGAGATCAGGCAGATCCCAGGACCACAGAAGAGATCCCTCTTGATCTCCTCCTTCAGCAAATGGCTCAACCCTTGGGTGGATTAATGGGGGGGTGAGTGAGCTCCCCCCCAAGAGGGTCCTTCATAGATCCACTCCAGATCAGAGAACTTTTGCTAACAACGTTTCTCTCCATTGAGGGATTCTCTTATGAACACCTCATTATATAAAGTTTAAGAACATGCAATTTTTAAAGGTTTGGTTATTTGTAATTTAGTCCTGGGATCTGGTCGGGATTTTTTTATGAACAGTTAATTATCCTCCCAGGTTTGCAGGGAAGAATTTAGGAGTAAAAATGAATTCTAGACTGAATATGCGGAGAACAAAATCTGTGTTGGTTCCCATTAAATATTCCATAATTTTTGGAAGGAGAAAATGCCCAGCATCTCCCCATAAAATGCCTTTTTCTCTTGGGATCTGGTGGTTTTTCTCTCATGGAAGAAAGATCTTCTTTAATTCTTTGGTAGCGTATTATTTTGGGAGACCCTGGCAACAACAAATGGCAACAACTGCAGATGAAACTCTGGTTTTGCACTATGAAACCTTATCAGTTGATAGAAATAAATAATAAAAATACAAACAAATAAAATTAGACCAACAAACGTAGGCAATTTGCCAGGAATCTGGAACAGGGAACTAAACAACCTGAGGCTTCAGGGCTGAACGATGCCCAAAATTCAGTTTTAATGTTTGTGGGGGTTTTTTGAATCTTTGCCCCCAAATGAGGAACCTTCCCAGATACGAAGAGAGAAGCGATTCGGCTGCAGGTGAAGCTGAGTCTCTGACCAAAAAGGGGGTTTCAGGGGGGGCTTTTCTCCCAGACCCCCAACATTGGATGAACAAATGACTCTGAATAAAGGATAAAAAGAACTGAAAGAGGGTCAGGGCACAGCAGACGAAAGAGCCTTCCCTGATTCCCTTTTCCTTTGGAAGTTCACTTTTTATCCTAAAATCCCAAAGGCCCCAGAGGTGAAGGGAGCCCCTCCCCCACTCCTGGCCTTCCAGAAAGGGGGGGAAAGGGGGCTCTGGGGCTTTGCTTGGGGAGCAGAGAGGGGGAGGAGACAGCCGTGGGGCCGGTCAGCCTCCTGAAGCCCCCGCAACCTTTTCATAAACTTTTATCACTGGATTTTAATCATTCCTGCCTTTTAAATCTTAAATTATATAGATTATTTTGGTGGTTTTATATTTTATGTGTACACCATGCAAAGTCCCTCTGTGGGAGAGAGACAGATGGTTTTAAAAGTTGATAAGTAAATCAATAAATATTATTTAATAAAAATATTATATTGAAATATTATATAGCATATAGTATAGATTATTGAAAAATTATACTGGGCAAAAGAGAGACCTTGCCGGATTCCTCCCCCCCCCAAAAAAAATATAATATTTGGTATAATTTTCTGGAAAGACGTTTTCTTAGGCACGGGAAACTTTAGACCTTGGGAAGAGAAGGAAGATGATGGGAAGGAGAGGAATCTATTTCTTCCCTTTGGCATGTTTGATTGTCATCGTTGTAGAATTTCAAACTTTTTAAAGGTAATTTAATTTTAACCTTATTTTATATACATTTTCATTTAGGGGTGATGTTAGACCCTACGCCATCCAGATCCCCGCTTTGAGGGAGGGGAAGGGATTAGGAGTATCAATATATAGCAATAAATACCAAAGAATAAATTGCGTAGGTCGGAGGGCACAGAATACGTAAGGGGCAAATCTTTCTCCGGGAGAGTCCTAAGAAATGAAGTGAAAAGGGGGGGCTGCATTCCCCCCCAATGGAACTCCCCCTCCCCCACTCACCTCTCCGGCCAACCACGGGGCTGCCCTGGAGACCCTCGTAGTTGTGCCGGCAGAAGGGATCCACTGAGGCATTCATTTACTGCAGGTGCTGCTTTGCTTGGGGGGCAGCCGTGGGGCTGGTTAGCATCCCGAAGCCCCCCCACCTTTTCATGAATGTTTATCACTGGATTTTAATCATTCCTGCCTCTTAAATCTTAAATTGTATAGACTATTTTGGTGGTTTGATATTTTATGTGTACACCATGCAAAGTCCCTCTGTGGGGGGGATGGAGAGAGAAGGTTTTAAAAGTTGATAAGTAAATCAATAAAGAAATGTTGATTTATTAATATAAAATATTATATTGAAATATTATATAGCATATAGATTATCTTGAAATATCTCTATATACTGTACAAGAGAGAGATCTTGCTGGATTCCAGCCCCCCAAAGAAAAATATAATATTTGGTATAATATTCTGGAAAGAAGTTTTTCTGGGGAGGGGAAACTTTGGACCTTGGGAAAAGAAGGAAGATGATGGGAGGGATGGGAAGGAGAGGAATCTATTTCTTCTCTTGTGTGTGTTTCATGGTCATCGTTGTAGAATTTTAAACTTTTTAAGTGTAATTTAATTTTAAAGCTTATTTGTTATACATTTTTATTTAGGGGTGATGTTATATTGTAGGCCATCCAGATCCCCGCTTTGAGGGGGGTCGGTTTAGGAGTATCAATAAATATCAATAAATACCAATGAGTAAATTTCATAAATCTGAGAGCAGAGAATACATAAGATAAGATGATAAGATAACCTTTATTGTCATTTTTTTTACTGTGGGCACAATGGCTCACATCCAAAATGAAATTTAGTTGCCTGCTCTCAAAGTGAAAGACATACATGACACACCCTAAAAACATACTGTTGCGTCCTTCGCGAAATGGCAATGACACGAGAAGCAGTTGTAGTTCTCAGGAACTTCTTTATTTCTGTTCAGCAGACTGGTTACAAGACACCGACGACGCCCAAATCTCCCAGCCTCTTTTATAGGCCATTACCGGGCCAATCTGCAACATTTGGCACGCCAGCACCCACGCATGCGCGCACGTGCTGGCGACAGCCAGTCTGGTCCCGGGCAGCTTGCACCTGCCCAGGACCGTTGCAATGCCCCGAGCCTGCTTCCACAGGCTCAGGACATAACACCCCTTCCCCCCCGGCTAAGACTATGATCATACAATAATAACATACAACCTAATGCGAGCGTGGTGCCCATACTACCTAGTGTCAGTTATTTCCTCTGTACAGGAATGTTTTCTGTTAACTCTGTTTTGCCAGTAGAGTTACAAAATCTTCCTAAACGTGTGCGTGGAAATGATCGAGAGTGCAGACCCCGTATCCAGTTCCATAGCCAATGGAACCCCTTGTAGCTTCACTTTAAGTGACAGCTTTTTCTTGATGGGCTTGTGTGTGCCTGTCTTGTAAATGCTTCTTTGCGAAGCGCAGAACCCCACCCTGTTTTGGCTGGGAACCCTGGTACCTTTCAGGCGCAATTCTTCCTGAGGTTGTACCTTTGGATGGCCCAGACACACAGCTGCAATATGTCCCTGCTTTCCGCATGCTCTACAGATAGCGGAGCGGAATCTACAGTCGGTCCTCTTGTGGCGACCTCCACAACCGAGGCACCTGGGGAGAGCTGAAGAGCTTCCTTTCTGTTTCCTTTCTTTCGTGGGGTAGAGATGGTCTACTTCATCGTCAGGATCCTTCTCTGGGTTCCTTTGGGCTCCTTCCTGGTGCACGGACGCAGCCTCTGGAGTGCTTCTGATCGGCCTCATGTTCTTGATGGCGCCGCCCGCTGCCTCTTCTGCAGTAACCTCTCTCAAGGCATCTTGGAATGATAAGTCTTCTTTGGCAAAAAGTCTCTGCTGTAATTCTCTATGCCTCAGTCCACATACAAATCTGTCTCTCAGCCGTTCTTCTAGATCCTTGAACTCACAGTGTTTAGCGGCTTTCCTCAGCGCAGCAATGTATTCTTTGGCTGATTCTCTGGGTCGCTGATCCCTCTGTTTGAAGGTGTGGTGCCAAGCGATGACGGACAGCTTGGGCTGGAAGTGTTCCTTGAGTAGTTTTTTGAGATCTGTGTAGTTAACAGATTCTAGAGGTACAGGTGCTGCTATGTTTTCAGCGATTTCGAATGCGTCTTGACCGCAAACGCACAGGAGGGTGGCGGCCTTCAAACTATCTTCTCTCACTTGGTTGACTTTAGGATAGTTTTCCACCCTGGCTACGTAAGACTCCCATCTCTCCGGATGCGAGATGTCGAATTCTGAAAGTCTTCCTACTTTTGCCATTTTTGTAGAAAAGGAAGGGTCTATCAGCCAGCCTACCCCCGATACTCGCTGGATTGGCGGGTAGCTGCCGAGTCAACGCCGTTCCTACCGCTCAGGATTCTCTCGGGTAAGCTTACACCTGTCTTCGGTCGATGTAAGGCAATCCCACCTTCGTCGCCAGTGTTGCATCCTTTGCGAAATGGCAATGACACGAGAAGCAGTTGTAGTTCTCAGGAACTTCTTTATTTCTGTTCAGCATACTGGTTACAAGACGCCGAAGATGCCCAAATCTCCCGGCCTCTTTTATAGGCCATTCCCGGGCCAATCTGCAACATTTGGCGCGCCAGCACCCGCGCATGCGCGCACGTACTGGCAACAGCCAGTCTGGTCCCGGGCAGCTTGCACCTGCCCAGGACCATTGCAATGCCCCAAGCCTGTCTCCACAGGCTCAGGACATAACACATACTATGTGCAAGATATGTGCAGACCCTCAACCCTCCATATACATGACAAATGAATATTAAACACTGTCCCTCTTGAGTATGTAAGGGAAGGAGGAAGCTGGAGAGGGGCAGATCTTTCTCTGGGAGAGTCCTAAGAAATGAAATGAAAAGGGGGTGTCCCTGCATTCCCCCCCCCGGAACTCCCCCCCCTCACCTCTCCGGCCAATCACGGGGCTGCCCTGGAGAGCCTCGTAGTTGTATCGGCAGAAGTAATCCACTTCGGCCTTCCGGTCCTGCAGGAGACGCTTATCCCTGTTGAAAGCCTCCGCATCCCCCTTCCCGAACGCCGTGACGGCCTCGAACTCCCCGCGGGCGCTGTCGAAGCGGACGAACTCCTGCTGGTCGTAGAACAGCCGCTCCAGTAGTCGCACCCGCCGTGTCCCGTTGAAGAAATGGCACTCGGCCTTCCCCTGGTACAGGAAATGGGCTGCGTGGGGGGGTGGAGCAGAAAGAAGAAAGCCCTCAGGAGAGAGTCCAGGGCCCATGGTTCCCAGCAGGGGCAGAGCGACGGGAAGGCGGAGCGACAGGAGACCTGCCGCGAGGGACTGACAGAAGGCGCCCCCTGGAGGAGGGATGGGGAACCGTCGGTCCCAGCGGGATTCCCCCTTGGTGGGGGTCTGGAGGGGGAGGAAAATGAGGGAGGGGGAAAGAGGGACCCCCCTCCATCTCCCCAGGGTGGAAAAAGGCAGGCAGAAGTTCAGCCAGTCCAGTCTCCGTCCGTCTGCAGGGAACGCTGGATTCCCCCCCCCAAAGCGGCAGGAAATATGGGGGAGGGAAGAGACCCCCCCTCTGGGTTGGAGGGGAAATAGTATCCAAGCTTCTCTCTCCCTCTCCCTTTTGGGAGGAGAAGGGAAGGGGGGGTCACAATAAGGATACCCACACCCATGCTCCTGGGCTCTCCCCGCCCTTCAAGCCCCCCCTCCCTTTTCCCCCCTCTGCCCGATCTTCAGCCCCACAAGCTGCTTTTGGGTGCTTTTTAAGGCCTCTTTTCTGGCCCCCTCCCCCCTGCAGCCCCCCAAGACCACCTCAAAGGGAGGGACTCCAGCCCCCTTCACTAAAGGGGGGGTTTGGAGGAGCAACTCAGACCCCCCCCCCAATATCCCTCCCAATAGAAGCGGAGAAGGTGAGGGAGGGGAAGATTTTCAGTCTTGGGGGCTGCAGCTTTAAAGGGGTGTCCAGGGGGGGTTGTGGACTTCCTTTTTTGCCCCCTCCCATGAATCTGAACCACAGTCTCCCTTTCTCTTTCTGCCTGGAGGGGTGGACTAGATGACCCTTTAAGCTCCCTTAAGACCCCCCATGGGGAGTCCAGGCTGGGTCAGTGGAGATTTCAGAAGGGCCGAGGGGAGCTGGGGGGGTCTCTCCAGAGACCCTCCCTCCCACTGGTCTCACTTGGCCCAAAGGGGCTTTTCCGAAAGGCAGCTGGACTTTCCTGGGTTTTCCCTTGAAGACTTTTCGCTTCTCCTCCCAGAAGCTTCTTCAGTTCTGACCGAAGGGTGGAGGGTGGAAGGACGGATATTCCTTGTGGTCATTTGGTCATTTTGAAAGCCGGTCCCTGGTTCTCTGAGGGGCCTTGAGGACCCCCAGGGGTTTATCTCGGCCCTCAGGGTCCCCTGAATTGGGGGGCAAAGGGGTGGGGAGCCTTCCTGGGGCTGCTGAAAGGACCCGTTGCAGGCAGGAGATGGGGGGTCCTTTCCCTCCCCCTACTCTGTTGAGGGGGGGCTGCTCAAATTTGATCTAGATGGCTTGGGGGTCTGGGGATCTTGGGGAGAAGAGAACCCCCAAATTCCCTAGTTAACCCCAAATTTTCTTTCCCATCAACTTCACTCCTACTGGCTGTCTTTGCATGATTTGTGGATTCAGCCCTCTTTTCTGTCACCCTGAAGCCCCCCAAGACCACCTCAAAGAGTCTCTAGCCCCCCTCACCTAAAAAATCGTTTTGAGTAGCCAATTTAGGGGAGCAATTCAGACTCCCCAATATCCTTCTCCCTCAGTTCCCCCCTCCCCTCCAGGTCCTGATTCAGCAATGGGGAATATGGGGTGGGGGATTCTGGGTCTCCTCCCCAAATTGAGAGTCTCCCCCAAAAAGGAATCCAGCTCATCTCTCCCCTCCCCTTAAAAAAATGGAGGTTCAGAAGAAAAACTGAGGTTGCAAAAACACTTTTGCCAAAAAAATCTCTTTTTCTTATACTCTTACAATCCTTTGTGGATTCAGGTCTGAAAATGCCTCAGTTTCCCTCTTTCGCTTTCGCTTTCTGTCTTCTTCCTCTTTCAGTGCAAGAAACTTTGGGGCTCAGGCGCTAATTTGGGGTGCACAAGGTCCCCCTCCCACCCAGCCACGGGGGGGGCGGCCCAGCTGCCTCTTAACCCACCTTGGTTCCCTTCCCGAGACCCCTCTCCGTCCTCCTGAGCGAAGGGGCGGAGACCACGCAGAGATCGAGGTTCCTGCAGGCTCCCGTCTCTCTTGCCCTCCATCCCCTTTCTCCCTACTGGGGTCCCGGCCCCTCTCCTCCCCCCTCTGAGCCCCCTCCTTACCGGGGGTCTCCTTCCCCCCTTCGCTTCCGGGGATCCGGTCCAGCACCCCCACCAGCAGCAGCAGCGTCAGGGGGAGCCCAGCGGAGCCCATGGACGCCGCCCCACAAGCGCCCCCCAAAAGAGGGGAGAGAGACACGGAGGCTCCCCGCCCCAGAGGTGGAATAGATGGGTCTGGAGTGGGGGGAGGGGGCGTTAACCTCGAACCTCGGACCTGGGAGGGCCCAGGAAAGCGGAGGGACCAATGGGAGCCTCAGCGTCTCCCCAAGAAGGAATCCAGCTCAATTCTCCCCTCCCCTTAAAAAAATGGAGATTCAGAAGAAAAACTGAGGGTGCAAAAACACTTTTGCCAAAAAAAATCTCTTTTTCTTATACTTTTGGTGGCCTTTGTGGATTCAGCTCTGAAAATGCCTCAGTTTCCCTCTTTCGCTTTCCCTTTCCGTCTCCTTCCTCTTTCGGTGCAAGAAACTTTGGGGCTCAGGCGCTAATTCGGGGTGCGCAAGGTCCCCCTCCCACCCAGCCACGGGGGGAGGGGCGATAGAGGGGCCCGACTGCCTCTTATCCCACCTCGGCTGCCTTCCCGCGACCCCCACCCCACCTCGGCCACAACAAGGGCAGAGGGGAGGGGGCTCCCTCTCCGTCCTGCGGGGGAAAATGAGGCGAGGGAGGGGCGGAGACCACGCGGAGATCGAGGCTCCCGCAGCCTACTGCCTCTCTTGACCCCTTTCCCCACTTCTGGGGTCCCAGCCCCTTTCTTCCCCCCACCCTCAGGGGCTCTGACGGCCCCTCCCAACCCCTCTCCTCCCCCCCTCTGAGCCCCCTCCTTACCGGGGGTCTCCTTCCCCCCTTCGCTTCCGGCGATCCGGGCCAGCGCCCCCGCCAACAGCAGCAGCAGCATCAGGGGGAGCCCAGCGGAGCCCATGGACGCCGCCCCACAAGCGCCCCCAGAGAGACGAGAGACGGAGACGCGGAGGCTCCCAGCCCCAGAGACGGAATCGGGGGTCTGGACTGGGGGGGGGGGGGAAGGAGGCGTTTCCCTCGAACTTCGTAATTGGGAAGGCCCAGGAAAGCGGAGGGACCAATGGGATTTCTCCCTTGTGCAGCGTCATCGGTCTCCGGGCAGAGCCTCCCTTGACTTCGCCCGATGGAGGAGATAGTTGGGCGCAGAGAGAGAAGCGGAGAAAGTGGGAGGGGGAACAATCCCTTCAGTAGGGGTGGGGGGGCTGCATTTTAGGGGGGCGTTTCATGCCAGCTCCGGAGGGGAGGGCGGACTTCCTTTTGCGCCCCCCCTCGTGATTCTCAACCAGAGCCTCTTTTTCTCTGGGTGTCTGGAGGGGTGGACTAGATGCCCTTTCAGTTCCCAGAGGGAGCCTAGAGCAAAGTGGAGGCAGAGCTTGAACGCTCCTCCTGGGCTCGCCCGCTCAGTTTGGGGGCAGGAAGCCCCCCACAGCATTGGACCATGTGTGTGGAGGGGACTGCGGACACACGTACACACACACGCACACACACACCCTAACTCCGCAGACAATCGATACCCACGTTTAAGGGCCCTGAGACGAAACCTCCAGTGCTGAGTGGGGAGTCCTAGGGCCCCCCCCATCTGGGGTCGCTATGTTGCAGCCGGGAAGATTTCTGTAAGTTGTGAAGTTGTGTCCTTTCCCTGGAGGGAGGGAGGGAGGGGGCTCCGCTGGGGGTCATTCCCGATCCGCAGGGGGTCCTCCTCCTCCTGGGGGTCCAGGCCCCACAGAGAGTTTCCCCCTTGGCCTGTCCCAATTCTGCCCCCTGAAGGGCGGCAGGAGCGGAGCCGTGTCGGGGTTCAGCCCGGAGCCAGGAGCGTCCGGGGCAGCTTCCCCTCCCCTCCCCCCGTCAGATGCAGGAGGGGCTGGGCTGGCGGAAGGCTTGGGGGGGGAAGAAGTGGGGAGAAGGGATGGGGAGACCTCATAGCCTGGAGGGGACCTTGGAGATCTTCTAGTCCATCTCCCTGCTCGAGGCGGGAGTCCTTACACCACAACCTTCTCCTTGAAGACCTCCAGGGATGGAGCCCCCCCCCCCAATTCCAGGTTCCACTGATTGATTGGGTCTCACGGGCAGAAGATCCCTCTCGATCCCTTCCAGGTCAGATCCCCCTCGGAGGCTCCGGACGGTCCCATCTTCCCTCCCAGGCTGAGCGACCTTCTCCGGGCTTCGGCTTCGGTCAGCCGCCGGGCGATCCCTGGCGAGGTTGCCCCCCCTCCGGGACCTGCCCGGGAGATCCCAAAGGGAGCGAGGGGGATCCCGAGGGCGGGAGTGGGTCTCCACCCGGTCTCCTCCTCCGGGAAGGGCCGCGAGTGGATCTCCCCTCCCACCCACGGAAAGCCCGGCCGAGACCCCCGTTCCCCCCTCCCCTCCTCCCCCGGCAGAAGCCCCTGATCCGGGAATCTCCCCCGAGGGATCCGCGGCTCTTCCTCGCTCCGCCCGGCCCGATTCTCCGCCAGGGGAGCTTCAGGCGCGGCTTTTCCTCCCGCGTGGAGATTCCGGGCGGGTTTTTCTCCACGACCCTCTCCGGCTTTTCTACGGGGGTTCCTCGAAACCCTCTTTTGAAGGGAAAGACCGTTTCCAAACACGGGCAGCCTTTCCCGCCCTTCCAAATCTCCGCCTTAATTCGAAGTAAAGACTAACAAAGTCCTGACAGCCCCGAAGACGCGGAGGAAGGAAAAGAGGATTCCGAGATTCAGGTCTGGCCAAAGGATTTCAGCTCCCTCAATCGGAGAAAGAATTCCCAGGATGAGCAGGACAGAATTCCCCATTCCCGCCTTTCGCCCTTTGCCAGGGAATTCAGCATTTTGACTGCCGGGAGGGGGGCAGGAAGGGAACGTTGTGGGGAGAGGAATCCGCCCTGGGACTCGGTCCTCGGGATCCAGACTCTGGGATGGACGCCGCTCTTCTGGATGGGAGGTGAAGGGAACCTTTAAAAAAGAAGAAAAAATATCCATATCCAGGGACACGGACAGGATGGATAAGGAGATCTGAGCAGAATTTCTTCCTTGTAAAAGTTCTCCGTATTTAAGAAGGATGCATGGAGGGACAGTATATTACAACAATCAATGAATGTATAATTTATAACAGGGTGGAATATTAATAGACATTCTGTGGACTCCAGTAACCCTTTGCCTTCAGATATAGAATTCCAGCCTTACCCATTAAAGTCTGAAAACCTTCTCCCCCCCCCCCAAACTCTCCCCAAAAACCAGACATTCTGTTTCTGATGTTTCCTTCCATCCAGAGAAAACCTTTTTTCTCGCCTTCTCCGGAGATTCGTGTTCGGGGGAGTTCCGCAAAGGCGGGTCGGGCAGAGCCTCCATTCCCGGCTCTGCTCCGAAGGGCTTTGGGGGTCCAGAGGGGGCCCGGATCTTCCCGGGGACGGGGGGGCTGGAGGGCTCAGACTCCCCCCTGGCCCAGCACCAGCCCCGCCAGGCCAGAGCCGGGTCCCCCCCCGCAGCCCAAGGAGGGCAGAGTCCGAATCTGCCCCCCAGTTGCGGGTCTGGACACAGCCGGTCGCCCAAAGTCTGTCCCGGATCCAGGCAGCCTCTGGGGGGGTGGGTGGGGCCCCCCTCGCTCGCCTGACCCGGGCAGAACCTCTGGGCGCCTTTCCTGCTTCCCCCCCCCCAAAATATTGTGGTTTTCTCCGAGTTCTCCCTCACACACACACACACACACACACACACACACACAGCAACTCCTTTCCACAACCCCCGAAGAGGCGCCTGAGTCCCGCTTCCTTCCCCCCCGCCCCCGGCCTGAAGCGCTGGGCTCCCCCGAAGCGGAACCGGGGAACTGGCCCTGATCCAGCAGGCAACAAGCCCGGATTCTTCCCCAAACCAAAGTCATATCAGGTCTGTTTCTTTGGAAGACTTTCAATGTGAAAATATTCAATTGAATCGCTGGATCAGGAAAGGGTAGAATGGCCCAGAACACGGCCTGTCAGTTGAGCGAGGGCGGGCTCCCGCGTGAGGCGATCTGTGCTCTGATTGGTGGCTGCGGGTGTAAAGGGGGAGTTTCTCTTTTCCCCGCCTTTTTCTTCTATGGGCTCTGTCGGCCGTTTTGTGATTTACCTCGCGATTTACCTCAGGCTTATAGTGATATGCCTGACTATCTTATCTGCTGCAAATATAGAGGTTAAATATATTTATTGATGTAAAGCTACAAGTTTGAGTCAGTGTCTCCCACTTCATTTGGACAGCTGCCGCTCAATTCCTCAACTTTAAATCTTTTTAGTTGTGTCTTCCAGTCCTGGGTTTCATTCCACTAAGTTTCAGGAATTGCAACAATGACACACCCGCCTTTGGGTTTCAACTTCACCCTGTTTATTCCTTGGTGTAGCCTTGGTGTAGAAGCATCTGAGTCCCTTTTGACAGACCCTGTGTTTGGTTTCCACATCCCCTCTTTTGTGTCCAGGTTCTTTTTTGCCCAAAGTTTCAAAAATCTGCTGTATCCACAGCAAGGAAATCTTTTCTTTTTAAAGGAACAATTAACGAATGTTAAAGGAACATCTATCAGTTGAGGAGAAACTCTCAGGGCAGGAGGGGAGGGAGGGTAGGGGCTCACCCCACTGCACAACAGTTGTGTATACACAGCCAGTCGCACAAAGAGGGTCCCAGATCCAGGCATTCTCTGATCAGAGCTGAACTCCTGTCCTCTTTTCATGTTTCCCCACCAAGATTTTGATTTTCTCTTGAATTCCTCCTGCCGCCCCAGCCCTCCACACCCCCACACACAAACACACAGAGGAACTTTGTTTACTTCTGCAACCCACAACAGCTGAAGGAGTGCTGGAGTTTCGCTTTCCCCCCCCCCCGCCCCCGGCCTGAAGCGCTGGGCTCCCCCGAAGCGGAACCGAGGAACTGGCCCTGATCCATCAGGCAACAAGCCCGGATTCTTCCCCAGGGCAGCTCCGGGACTCTCCCGCTTCTCCCTGTGGCTGAGTCTCCCCCTCGGTCCTTTGTCCTCCCCCCCGGAAGAGATTTAGGGGTCCCTCCCGACCCCCGAGGAGACCCCGGACAGCCCAGGGAACAAAACGAGGGAGGGTTGGAGAAACGTCACCTGGGAGACTCGGCTCTCTGCGGGGGACAAAGGGGGGCTCTGATGCCGGGAAAGGTGGAAGGAGAGAGAGGAAAAGGATGAGAGTCATGGAGGGGAAAGGGCTCAGCTGCCGTGGGGGGAGGGGGATGCTGAGGGAGGACCTGGAGGAGTGGGGGGAGGGGTCTCCCCAGAAAAAATCTGTCCATGGGGGGATTAAACGTTGACACCAACTTGATGGCACAAACGATCTTTAGCCCATCTGCTTAAAGGAGATCTCCCGCCTTTTCCCCACCAATTAAAGCGCTGGGGATGGAGACGACTTCACAGCAGTTCATTTCATGGCTGTTCAAAGTTACAGTGGCACTGAAAAAACTTCACCTCATATTTCTTTTTTTTAATTTTTTTTATTGTTTTTAATGGTTTTTTTTAATAATTTCATGTACTGTATATACCTGTGTTTAGCTTTGTGTATCCAACCCAGTCACTTGTTCTGAGATGGGTGGTTATATAAATTTGATAGCTAGATGATATAGCTAGTAAGGGGAGGGGTAGAGATAAATAGAAAGATGTGTGTGAGAGAGAGAGAGAGAGAGAGAGAAAAGAAAGAGAGAGAGATGATAGACAGACAGATAGATAGAGATGGCTAGATAGATAAGATAGATGAGATAGATATGATATGATATGATACGATACGATATGATATGATAGAGAAATGATAGATAGAGAAGATACAGATAGGGAGACAGATAGATAGATAGATAGATAGATAGATAGATAGATAGATAGATAGATAGATAGATGAGAGAGAGATGAGAGAGAAAGAGAGATAAATAGATATATAGACAGACAGAGATAGATATATAGACAGACAGACAGATAAGATAGAGAGGGAGAGATGTAGATAGACACAAAGAGATGGAGACAGTGGGAGGGAGG